ATTCTTGAGGCATAGTGCCAGACTCAGTCCTCAGCTACACGGAAATACAAACCCAGAGTAACTGCACTTGCTGTTGCTGGTTGTACAGACTATTTACGTCAGCATCAACAGACAAAAAATGCTCGAAAGGTATTTCCACATAATTTCTGCAGCAGATTTGCATGCTACCCTATTTCATTCCCATCAATGTTATTCCAGTATATAAGAGCCTGTAGACATGTCTATTGCTCCAAGGGTAATGTGAAAAACAAGATCAAGGCTTTTGTAACACTTCACAGTTACTGACAATGTCCCATGTGCATCTCTGTGTCATAACAGTTTATTGATCTGATAAATTATGTACTTTCTCCTGCAGTTTCTCTCTTCAGACTGCTTTTCAATCTATTTCCTGACAGTCATTGCAAAATAAGAAAGCCAAATCTACACAGTATCTCTTATTACAGGCCAAAGTCAAGACCATATTCCAGTCTGTTGAAAAAAAAAACAATGAAAATTTGTAACAGACATTGGTACACCAGCCCCTGCTCCCAAGCTTTTTCCTGTCTTCACACTGTCTTTTTCGGCATGGTCTTTAATCCTCTTTAATCGATACACTTTCTGGGTAAGCATGTTCTTAGCTTGATTTCTGTAGCTGTCATTGGAAACCATATTAACATACATACTTTTCTTAATAGAATACCAAGTACAGTGTCTGTAATTGGCCAACATGCAAAAAAATACTAATGTCTACCTGCCTCTCAGTCACGGTCTCAATTGCAAACATCTGTATGCCAGCAAACTCAGAATTTTTTAATACTGTACCGCTTTTTTTCCACACCTATCACCACCAGTAAACACATGAAACTTCCTACTCTATCACATCTTGCATCTAAGTAGCATAATTTCAGTCCATTAGATTTCTGAGATTTATTTTAAATCCTATTTTGAGTAACTCATATCATCAGGCTATTCACAGACAATGTAGCTTGCATGTCTCCTAGCTGCACCATAACCTAGACATTCCCAGTAGCTTCTCACACAACCTTTAGTGTTATGCAGTTGCCTAGTATAAAGGATGCCCACATTTTCACACAGGACATGCTTTAAGTCTCCTAGCAGCCCCATTTTACACAATCAACCTGCTTCAAAAAAGTATGAATAAATATGTTCATTCTCACAAAACCAGCACAATTACATAGATAGCATGTGGACAAAGCACTTTCGTTGTCACTATGAACAGAAGAAAACATAGATGTTTGTCCTTCTGAAACCCAGCCAAATTGTGACACTATTTGTATTTGCAGCATCTAATTCACCTTGAGATTATTAATATGAAAAATATTTTAAGCAACCTGCTGTGTATGGCAGAACCTTGTCATAGGATGTTTTGCAGTTTTATTGGTGATGCCTTTAACTGTGCTAAATCTTTCAAGTGGAAAAGGGAAAAAATTCCACCTCCTCCTTCCCCATCACCTTATCAGCGATTTAATCTCAGTTCCGCAGCTTTTCTATGGCATTTAAAATTTTGCATTTAGTGAAATAGCTTCCTGATCTTGAATCAAAAGGCTGATTAGTAACTGCTGACTTTGTCAGCAATACCCACTATAGATGTCTTGTTAATTTACACCAGTAAAACCTGCATTTAGCTTTTCAAGAGTCTTGCATTACATTATTTTCTTGTATTTCCTAGTGTTGCATAGTCCCATACCTCTATGCTCTGCCATAGGACATTTTTGCATGTCATAGTTGTGATAGCGGTGATGCAATAGCTGAGAGCACTAACACCCATGCAATAGCTGTGAACAGCCTGTGTTTTACTGGAGGAGGGAAAGAAGGAAAACCCAATTACCTTCTTTTCTGAGCTCCTCTTCTAAAACCTCAGTCTACTTTCGTCTCTCTTGCAATTTAAACATTTGATGATGATGATTTTTATTGTTATTTCAGTTAGTTACATTTATCTATTTTATTGGTTGATATTATTTTGTCACTCTAATTATTTCTTTGCACAACTGGCATAAAATACAATCAGTGGGCTAAAGTTGAACTAAGGAAGTATATAGTTTGTTAGGCAGCTGCTGACTTACATTATATAATCAGATACTATTCGTATTCTGAAAATGTGAGATATATATGGTCCTAGCACATCTATGCAAGTAGTTTATATCTACCCTAGCATTTTTCATATTTATGCTTTGTCATAGTTAAGCTGTCTGGAGCAAGATCCACAGAAACAAATTAAATTCACATTTTGTTGTGCAACACACACAGATAAAAGATTTCACACTATATTAGGAATACTTGGACATCCGACACAGCCCAGCCTAAGATCTGACAGTGAAGTCAAACCACAAAAAGAACCAAAGGAATTGGTATTTCCAAAGTTGCACTAGTGTGACCGTGTGCAACAAGTGGCACACAAGCGCTGCCCACTGCCTGGAGTGATCACATGGAAGTTCGCAATGGGCTGCCTTTCTCTTTCTCAGGCTGCTCACACAGTAGCTGCACAGAATCTGATTATTCAGACAGACTGAAAAGTAAGTTTATCCATAACCTATTCTGTATGACTACAAGGATGCCAAAGAAGAGACTACACAGAAATTGTTTATAATGGAAAATCCTACAAGTTAAAAACAGGGAACTATACTACTGTGCTTTGAATTAACAAATACTTTTCTTCTAACCAATTTTGCTAAAATGGTGTGACTAAAGCATTAAAATTAATTTAACATTCTTGGCTCAGTTAATATTTTGTTAATTTAATGTAGAGTTTACATTTTCATAAAAACATTTTAAAAATTTTAGCATTCAGCAAAATTAGTACTCGTTTTATGATAATATTGTTAATTTAATGCATGACTTGGAACTACATTTCAAAGCGAATTGGAAAAATACGCCTTTTCTCTTGCTGTTGCAGGCATCTCTGTTCATGCACTAGTAAACCAACCTTAAATTTTAACATAGGCAGCACAAAATCGCTCTTGTATTTTGATAATTTTTCCAATTCAATCATCTAGTCCATCAATTTCAGATAGATTTTGCAACAACCTACCCATGAAAGTTAAAATTATTTTTAGCATTACCCTTTTATGTTTATCCTCTGGAAAGACCTTCTACTGTATATACATATAAAGTTAAAAATATATTTAGTGAAAAATCAAATGGATATGAAACAACCCAGCTAATGTACTGCTAGTGGCTTTTGGTTTTTGTTCTTGGCTGAGGTTTGGGGGTTTTTTGCTATTGTTTTGTGGTACCTCTATCAATATCCTATGCTATCCTGTATATTTAAGTGTCAATAAGTTTTTAACTATGTTAGTACATAGTGACTATAACTCTCCTTACAGTTAATGAGAATCCTAAATGTCTTTTTGTGTATGGAATACTGAAATGTATTATTGTATAAAGCAATGTATTATATTGTATAAAGCAATACAAATGCTTTTCAGACTTCATTTTTCATCTGTTAAGTTCCATGTCCTCTTCTTCCACTGCCAGAGATAGTGATTTTCTCAAAGATCGATTCCTTTCCATCCTTGACCCCCACTGTCAACAGAGCCCTATCTTACACCAGTCTAGCTTCTCTAACCTCGTGTTCTGTTTCAGTTAACTTAAAAGTGCACTTCCTTCTCACTGTAACAAACACAGAAGTTTCTCATCTGCTCATGTAACCCTTCCACTTGCTTCGTTCTGACTTGCTCTTCTTTTAAGTCCTCTCTCACATCTTTCATCCCTATTTTTTGTTCTTTTGTCTCAAACATGGGCATGCTTTAGGGTTCTCCCCACTTGTGAGAATGACAGGGAGAACTCCTTAATCTATTTGACTCCTAATTTCTGACCCAATTCCTCATAGAAGTCTTCTGTTGCAAGTATTTGTTCCATTAATCACTATGCACAATATTATTGAATTTAAATTTAAATCGTTATTTAATTATAGGCCTCCTGACAGTTGCTCAGGCTCCAAACTTTTACTTCATTTAGTAAATGTATTGTTTGTCCAGATTTCCCACATAAAGCTCTCTTTCCACCCCAAATGTTGGTCTGAGAAGAGAAAGAGCTGCTTGGTCATATGTCTTGGACTTCCAGATGTCCAGCAGTCCTCACAGAGCAACTATTTGGACAGGCTTTTCAGAACAAGTGTGAGCAAGTATCAGCTGTGTGCTATGTGAAGAGCAAGTCTTCAACATTTAGGCACAGTGGATGTATTTTTGCACACACTGCACAGCTGGCCAGTTTTAGTTGCACAGACTTGTGTACATGCACAGATCTATGTTACAAAGGGGATTTCTCATATGGACATGTGTGTATCTTACTTTCAGATGAAACTGCTTTCACATCACCAGGCTATGTCTACATTATAAAGAGTAAGAAATAACCCTACCCTAACATTTGCCTATAGGTAAAAGCTACATGGGATTTTCGGTGTATTCACACCAAGAAGCCTCTTGCGTGAGCTTTGTTGTCTCATGTTCTGATCACTGCAACATCCTCTCTGGTCTTGACAAAGATCATTCACCCAGCTGGCACTTACTCAGAGTAGTGCTTCACAAGTGATCTTTGCTGATCATTCAGATCACAGTAACCCTGGCTTTACTGCGTACCCTCACTATGTCTTCCTCTAACACACCAAACCTTTTAAAAGGAGTGTTTACCTACACCATTCCTCAGTGAAAAGTCCACTCCCTTCTCCACAGTGCTGGTCTACGTTACCAGCTTGTTATGTTTTCAAGCAAACAAGTTTTGTATTTACTTTCTTTTTTTTTTTTAGCCTTGTGAGGCAGCAAGCCTTATATTGTGACACTTAGTCCAAAACAACTCCTTAAAACACTTCTGAGATACCCTCAAGGTGATAGCATGTCATGCTACCCACTCACTGTTTCTCCTGTCATGGCCTCCTCCTTTGCCCCTGCATTTCTGCGGTACCTCTTTCAACACAGTGAGTAACTTCAGGTTCACAATCACCAGCAGTGTCCTAATGCAATTAAACAGCTGAGCTGGTAAGATTAAAATTGTATTCTCAGTTGCTGTTTCTACTTATTTCAACAAACACACGCATATTCATCCTAAAAGAGGTCATAGAGAGGAAAGAACCTTCAGACGCAAAAATTACCTCAGAAGAACACTATAATCTCCACAGCTATTACTTGCCTTTCTAAATATTAAGAATTTCTCACACAAACCAAACGGCGTATTGGGTGTAAGCAGGAGAGGGCTGCAGTGGCGACCCGGGCAGGAGGGGCCACGCGCTGCCCCGTGCTGGTCACGGCCAGCTGCAGCCCGGGCAGCGCCAAAGCCGGGGAGGCTGCGGCATCCGCGCGCTCGCAGGCGTGAGGGAAGAAGCCATCCGGGGCTGGAAACATTTGGAAGTACAGCTGGGAAAGCGTGATGCTGAAAGCAGTGCACTTCCAGACATGGTGGCCGGCAGGTGGCCCACACCGCGGTGGTCAGAAGTTTGTGTTGATTGGCAATAAATGAGGTAAAAATTCTGTGACTCCATGCTGGTTTATACACAGCTCAGTTTATTTTCAATTAAAGTTGAAATTGAAAAAAAGGACCGTTAGTTATTTCATACTTGCTTTTTTTTTTTTAATATTTACACAGTATTTCTTCTGTATTACTTAGGCAAAGTCACAACTTTGGGTTCTAGCCACATACATTTTTTACATTTTTTTTGTTATAGATGAGCCCTTTCGTTTTCCCAAAGTAAAAAACTTCTCTTAAAAAAAACCACTTTTTTATTCCTACATCATTCACAGTAACTCCTGATAAACAGAGACATTTTACAATGAGAAATGGCTGGACAAGTATCTTAATAATTACTCAGTTGAAACATTCTTTCAACTTAGAAAGTTATTTAGATTACAGTTAATTACAATTTTTTTGAAGGACAGTAAACCTTTTTTTGACACAGTATGTAATTATGTCTTTCTGCTACGGGAGTTTCTGCTAATTACGCAATTATCATGCAAGGACATTAATATGAAAGATATTCTGAACTAACTGTTAAAAATACAGTAAATGTACATATACTTCAGGCATATATACTTCATTCTCCACACAATCTCAATGATTTGCACTAGTGTCACTGGGGTCATTTATTTCAGTACACAAAGGGCACTTCCCTTGCCACAAAATAAGGTGAAAATTCCTCCTTAACATTCAAGAGTTTGAAGACATCTTTACTGTTTATGCATACAAAAAACCCACATATTTATCAAGTATAGCAAAAGAATATCAGCAAAGGAGAGCTTACAAAACCAATTCCTCCTCCCTCTAACCCTCCCCCATCCCACAGCCAAATTCATAGTTTTGAACTTTTTAAAGCCATCCTTACCAACATGATTAATCCCATTACTCTTAAATACTGTAAAACTATATTTTGTCATAGATCTAAAACACATACCTGTACCATGGAAAACCAACTACCATACACAAATAACAGCAGCTACTGACGATCTGGTTTATAGCTGTTAGAAAGCACCAGCAATACCTCTGCACAGCTTACACATACATACATTTCAGATTCACACTGAAGGAAACATGAACCATGAGGAGCTATGTTGGTATATCACCATGCCATACAAGCTGCAGCAAAAGCAAAGATCTATTAATTCTTACATATTAACCATTTTGCAATTTGCACTGTACTGAAGAAGCTGTGAGGGGAAAAAATGCTGAGGGGAGGGGATACGGGGGGAGACACATCCCAAAGTTAAAATTAAGGTTATATAGAAAGTTCAGGCAAACTACAAAACAGATGACTATTCTCTGCAAATCCCAAACTCAAGATAACTTATTTAAGGGGTTTCAGAATGCAACAACAGATTGAAAACACTCTTACTTGAAGAAGTTTGCACTGGGAAAATCACAATGCCTGTCCAGTTGTTTCAAATGTCATCTTCTATCCATCACCTGCCTGCAGCATTTTTCAAGTGTATTGTGTGATGTAAATCATAACAGATAGCAGCAAATAATGGAAGATCAAAAAAGAAGAAAAATCCTGAGAAACTCACAGCAATTATATTGAAGAAGTCATCATCTCCAAGGGTATCCAAAATAGATGAAACTGTCTGTTTTGCAATAGTCAAGCGAAGCCCTTTCATACTGCCACTGACATCCACTAAAATTACCACATCTTTTGGAGAAGTTGCTGCTTGGATGTACCTAAGACAAAAGATAAAACATTTTGTTCTTTAAAATACTGAATTTTTATTCCTTTTAAATTTCTTAAGCACTGGTAGTCATCTATTGCCTACCATTTCCTATTTCTGCAGTCAAATGCAATGACTCCATTCTCATCAGGTTCCCACTTAATTCCTGTTTAAAACACAAAAAAGATAAAAAAAATAAATCATAACAGGCAATGGTGTTACAACCTAGGAAATGCTGGGAAAATAATTTAATAAAATAGGACCACCAGGAACAATATTTTTTTCCTCACTCCTTTTTAGTCTACTGTAAAGTGAAAACTTCTTCAAGCCTATATGCATCATCCTACTATCACTAAATATTGTCATACTTGGTCATTAGTGCTGGCACACGCTTGCCAAGTCCTTTTCAAAGCTTGAGCACTTACCATGGCTGGTCTCAATAGGTCTTGTTATACCAACTGCTTCACTCACAGGTCATACACCTGATGTTTTTCTCACAGAAAAGGTAGTATCTCCCAGTTGTGTGTCAAAAGAAATATGATAAAACATCTTTAAGCAAAAAAAAAAAATGTAAGGACGAACCTTCCTGCTTTTTACACCCTTTTTCTAGCATAAAATAAGAAACAGCCTCTAAAATAAGGAGTCACATTTTTTCTACCCCTGAAATATCATGGAGCTTGAGAACTGAACCGTAATCTAAAACTAACACAGGTGTAGTAGTCATCACTTTCAGTCGCTTTCAGACACACAGGCTTATAGTAAACTTGCTCGCATTGAACTCGAGACTTCAGACTTAAAAAAAATATGGGTTGCTAAACCATGTCAGCTAAAGGAACAGTTCCCACCATGGGCCTGATCCAAAGTTACAGAAGCTGAAGATCAGTTTATTTAACTTTCTAGTTTATTTAAATTTGGTATGTGATTAAACATAAAACTTAATAGCTAACAATACATATTTTAACCTATTCCTGTAAAAATAATACAAGTGATCTACTCACATTTTACTACATTTGATGTGAAAATAAACTTTAAAACAAATTTTTTGAAATCTTTAAATGTAAAGATGTCAGGTTAGGTGAAAGTCTAAAAACTGAAAATAAATTACAGTTAAGCGTTACTGTATGCATTGATAGAGCACATTATCTAAGATCAGTACTAAATCAAGGGTCTAATCCTTTTGCCCTCCTTCTTCACAATCTGTTTAGAAGTTATTTTTCATATGTGTGTATATGTAAATCTAAATAGGAATACATATGAGTGCATGAGTTATCTCGGGGGCTTCACCTCCAAATGAAAATTGGTAGAAAAAACCTCACAGCGTTGCAAGTCTTGATTAGAAACATCTCTTTCTCAAAACGAGATAAAGTAAAATCAAACCTGCAAGTATCTTTGAAAGTCACAATTTGTGACAATACTCAGGGGAAATTTGCAGCCATAGCATTCTTTATTGTATTTTAAGTAAGAATTTTTATTCTCCTTACCTGGATATTGTCTGAAAAATCCTTTTGCACTTCCAAAGTACTGCCAGATAAGAGAAGGGTCACGATCAAAATTATCGACAAACACCTTATTTAAAGATTCTGACCAATAAACTCCATTTACAATGGCTGGATCTGGGTGAAAAACAATGCAGAGAAGAATGATTTTCCCTAAATATAATCCCTTGAATGCTGTCATCTTCAGCTTATTCAGTACTCAAAAATCTAGTGACCGCAAACTACTGCAGAATATCTTTTGGTTTCCTTTGTCAATTGAGTGATTCAAAATAAATTATACACTTAAATAATGAAAGTATAGTTAAAATACAGAGAAGACATCAGGTACGTTTTTTAGGTAAGTTAAAATTGCTCCTTAGACCATCTGTCTGGAACTACTGTATCGCTTGTTCTGGAGAACATAAGTGAGTCGATCTAATAATAATTATTTACTCAATTTACTCTCCCTAAATGCATGGAATGTCTTATGGCAACACTTCATACAGACTTTTTTTTGGTTTGCTTTTTTATTTTTTTTAATCTTCAACTTGGGAAGACCATTCTCACTATATCTGAAAGTTTAAGTGTGAGAACAGAAAGTGAAATATCTTCTGTTTCACATTTAAATTAATTATGATATACATCAAACACGAAAAATCTCATGACACATAACACTGTTATTTGGAAAACACTAGACTGATTTCTCAACAACTATCCTCATTGTTTTTGATTCCCATAGAAAGAGAAATACAAAGAAAATCCTTGATGTTGAAAATAAACTATTTCTGTTTAAAACATCCCCATCAATCAATTCCTAAAAACCCAGGCTGCCCAAGTATGGTTTTAAACTGCAGATTTGGTTAGACAGCGAGAAATCAGAAATAAACGAACATATTTTTAACAAATTACTCAATTTCAAACTGAATTTTGAAAGATGGCAAACAATTAAGACATACTATATTCCCAGTTTAATCTGTATGTGGAGTCAGCAGTACAGAAAGGAAAATACAGAAGTAAAATCATGGATGTATTATTTCAGTTGTAAAAGTGTGCATACAAGAACACCCTGTAACATTTGCTCAAGCACTTGAAATAATGCTTCCATTAGCTTGCAAAATAATGTCGCTGTACTGATTTCAGAAGACTGCTTAGAATGTGATTTTAATGGAGTGGAAAAAAAGGTGAATTGTTATTTTTCCTTACATTCATCATGAAAAACAGCAGAGAAAGGGAAAAGTCTCAGCTACAAATCTTTGAAGGTTGCTTTCATCTAAATATTTAGGTTTACATAGATGGACTGCTGAAAAAGCAAGGTCAACAAAACAGATGTTGTTTTTAAAACATCTGCTGCAGTTACTTGTTTCTCTAGAAGATGAAATCTACATTTAAAATCTGTCCAACCAGACACGTATCAAACAAACCAATGTCACTAGTCCGATTCTACTTCAGTTTTGCCTAGCTGGCAAAATCCATTGTCCGATTGTTTCTAAGTCTGTAGTTACTCCAATATCAAGCTGTGATTAAGACATCACTAATTAACTTTCAAGACTGCCTGTCATAGGATCTATCATCAGTTTGTAAAAATATGCTCCTATTTCAGCATCCCAAAATTTTGATCCATTGTTCGGCATTTAGACATTACATGAGAAGTTAAGCGCTAAAATAAGAATCCTATTCTCAGTCCAATGGAAATTCCCAGAACTAAATCAAATAATGTTATTCTGGTTTGCTCCTACACACAAGTTCTGATTACGTATCTGACTCACTAAAAAGCACAGTGGCATTATTGATTCGACATTACAATATTGAAATAAGGTGATCAGTTTAATTAATCTTTAAAAAAGAACAACGCAGTTCAGAGGGTTAGCTTTGGTTTGGTTTTTGGCTGTTTGTTTTTAAAGTGTTGCCAGAAAAGCCTGTTTAGAGGAGAAACAAGGAACCTTTCCTCAGCCTCTAGAGGACAATAAGCACTTCATACACCCTGCAATCACCAGGATTAGTGAAAAGCCAAACCAATCAAACAGAATAATTCTATCTTAATTTATATTTAAAATAATCTGTAGTGGTTCTTAGTAACTCACATTCTGATCTCATTCCAAGATTGCATGTTGTATCTCAGTATTTTAGAATATCATCAGTTCATCAGACGTCTTCTATCCTGGAATCCTCAGAGGCTAATTAATGTCCTTTCCTAATGAATCTGTGCTATAGTGCCACTCATCTAAGCAGAACCTTCACTCCGGCTCCAAACTCCATGATAATTTCCTTTAAATTCTACATACACTCCAGTTTCATAAGGTCACGGACAACTTTAGTTGTCCACTTATTAAGCTCTAAACTGAATGTGGAATCCTTCCAGTTGCAGTTGAAAAAAAAAATATTTCTATAAAAAAAAACATACATAAAGCTACTTTAAAACAACCTTCACCTTAAAATATTCATACCACCACAGCAATGGATTAATTTTTTTAGCCTGTCTATGAAGAGCCACTTCACAAGTTCATATATCTGTACCACAAATCAGAGAACTCCATGGAAATACAAGCAGGAATTTTTCTTTGACTACAATTGGTTGAGTCTATATTCTGCATTAGGTTGACAACAGTAATCCCTAATCATCCAAAAACTGATCAGCATAAATATTAATCCAGTGACTCTGAAACGAGTAGGATTTTTTTAGCTGAAAGGAGCATTAAAAGCAGGCATTTTAAATGAGAGGGCACAATTACAATGTGATCTATGACGACTGGGTCCCTTCAAAATGAAATCCAGTGACAATTTGCTATCTTCCTACACTCTGCATATCTATTATGCTGCCTGTTCCTTTTACAATATACCAAGTCACGTTTTATGCATGAATCATTTTTATAAAAAAAGCAAATAACATCCTACTCAGTTTAATCCTTAGAATACAAAGAAAAGTGAAGGGGGGCAGGGGGGAAACACATATTTACAGTACAAAACTGCAGGCCTCCATGTGCAAATCATGTGTCTTTACTGGCTACTGTGTCTTCAGGCAGAAGGATTTCAAACCGAGCTCCTTGTCCTTAATTTAATAACCACCATTATGTGGATGCATCTCTGTCCACGCGCACCATCCTAAACACAACTGAGTTCCTGACCATATATCCTCATTAAAATTTTACAGTCTCATTTCTAATAACCTATATGTTAAGCTTGTAGTTCTAGGCAACTTCCAATTTTAGTATTTACACTAAATTGCCCCCTTAGAAACAGTATTCTTAAGTTTTTTATTACTGGTGAACGTCACCTGCATCCACAAAACAGCTATAAGTCAGTAGCTGTAAATTAATGCTTGTGAATATACAGAAATTTGAGGAGGGAGAAGAAAAAAAAAAAAGAAAAAAAAAGAAAAAGCTGTGGGGTTCAAAGACAAGTGTGAATAGCTTCTGCCACAATTCTTGAAACAATTTCTGCTTTCCCTTCCTGGCAGTAACAGCTAAAATATAATTAAAATATTCCCTTTCCCTCGCGTTTTAGTTGGGTTGGCTTGCAATTAAATGGGATTTTGCTCCACTGCTGTTTGGGTAACTGTTACCTGTTTTCTACTGATATTTAATATAAAACCAACCCCCCCAGGCATAGGTACACTGACACAAATCTGAAACATAATTGCCAAACAACAATACAAACGCCTGTAGCAATTCAGTTGCTGTCATAGATACTGCTGACCCGAAGAAATAGGTCTGAAGTCTCAACAAAGGCAACCAAGGTGTGCAGACTGCAAGATGCACAACGGCATGCCAAAGGTTAGCACTATAATGTAATGTATTTTAATTCACAGAATCCATAAAAATATCCACACTAGAATAAGTCTATGGAATTACAGCAATACATACGCAATGTATTTTGCTTTCTAATTATTCCATCAAGCTTTACAGAATATATGGGAAACCACTGAGGAATTCAGTGACTACGAAGAAAATGCAGAATATTTTTCTTTCTTGCCATATGCTGCTCTATTACCAAGAAAAAACGTTACCAACAATCCTTAGGGTTTTTTTTTTTTTCATCTTATATTACCATTGTAATATAACCATTAGTTTCTCCTGGAAAGCTGTCAAAGATGCTGGCATCCAAAATGGTGTTCCTTCTTGTAGTATCTGATGACCTCGAGGGCAGCCCCTAACATTGCAGAGCAGTAACGTCATACAACAAAGCAGCATGAGCGCAGCCTACAGGACAAAGCACTGGAAAAGGAATGCAAAAACCAACACCCTTTTGGCTCAAAGATAGCAACAATATTAGCTTAGTTTTGATGACACTGACAACATATTTAGTCTGTTCATATTTGAAAGAATAATAAAATCACATACTTTGCTGGGACATACACCAACAATCTAATAATTATACTACTCAACTCTAATATAAATGCTTTTCAGGGTGGTCCAGCATATTCAAGAGCTGCGGCTGAATGCCAATTTTGGCAACTGCCTTTGCTTTTTTTCCTTGCTCTTCCCCTCCCTCTGCCTCCACTGGGTAATGTGGATGCATCAGCTCACAGATCAAAGCATCTGGCCATCTATAGACAGAAAAGGTGCTGTTTGTCCATTTTGCTTCATGTGCTGAGAACCATTCACCAGTGTCAGAAATCATATTCCCTCCTCATAAGTATACGGGGCAGTAAAGACTTCAAGTGCATGACTGTATAGAGGCATAGTAGCAGTAATTTAGTTATTTCAGTTTCCAACATTGTTCTAAATACATTCCCTTTCTCCCTTGAAATCGTAGAAGAACTGGAATATGGCCACATGTGTTTATTTCTATGTTGAGTTTCAGGAGTGGGTTTGGGGTTTTTTTAGGTTTTTTTTTGTGAACAAGGTTGTCTGAGATTCAAGTTCAGTTCATCTGAAAGCCAGAATTACAGCTGTGAACTCCTCGCTAACACCATTCTGGGATAGAGATTCAGTTCTGACTCTAAGAGCTTGCCACCTAATGAATTATAAAAAAGGTCCTGCAGCAAATCAGTGTACCTTTTGAGGTCACCCATTTGGCTGCTGACCTGGTTTGACCCTGCTTAACTTGTCTGATGTAACAGCTAAAAGCAACCAGTATGTGGGCAGATCTGCGAACGGGTTAGAGCGAAGCTCTGGAAACAGCATGCAAGCAGGATGTAT